GGGATGGGGAATACATGTAAATCCATGGCTAATTCATTTCAATGTATGACAAAAACTACTGTAATGATGTAAAGTAATTAGCCTCCAACTAATAAAAATAAATGGAAAAAAAAATAAATAAAAGCTATTAATTTTCCTTTAAAAACAGAGAATGTGGATTAACTGAGCTTTTCTAAATCTAATGGTCTAAGAAAACTTTTTTTCCCAAAACTAAAATGGCAATGTGTGTTGAAAAGTGGGTGAAACATATATTTTTTTGAATTTAGAACTAAAAAATAACATTACTGGAAGGAATAACATGCCCCAGCCCTATGAGACTTCTGTCTACACACCCAGCCCAGATTACTTGCCTTTAGAGTAAAATTGGGATTGTGTGTATAGCTTTTCCCTTCTCCAGGGGATCCTCCAAACCCAGGGATTGACCCCACGTCTCCTGCATTGCAGGCAGATTCTTTACCAGCTGAGCCACAAGAGAAGCCCTGACATTGGATGGTTCTGACTAAATTCACTCTTTCACTCAGCAACCATGCTCATATTTATCCATCCCAAAAGGTGGAAGCTTTGGGTATTACAAAAAAGTGATTTTTTCCAAAAACTATTCATGTTTAAATTTGGAGGAAATTACATTAAAGATATTTTTTAAATTAAATATTGCAGACTTCCTAGACAGAAAATGAGCCTCTGAGATGGAGTTTTATCACATTCAATTCAGTTGCTCAGTCGTGTCTGACTCTTTGTGACCCCATGGATGGCAGCACACCAGGCCTCCCTGTCCATCACAAACTCCCTGAATTTACTCAAACTCCCGTCCATCAATTCAGTGATGCCATCCAACCATCTCATCCTCTGTTGTCCCCTGCTCCTCCCATCTTCAATCTTTCCCATCATAGGGGTTTTTCCCAATGAGTCAGTTCTTCGCATCAGGTGGCCAAAGTATTGAAGTTTCAACTTCAGCATGAGTCTTTCCAGTGAGTATTCAGGACCGATTTCCTTTAGGATGGATTGGTTGGATCTTCTTGCAGTCCAAGGGACTCTCAAGAGTTTTCTCCAACACCACAGTTCAAAAGCATCAATTCTTCAGCTCTCAGCTTCCTTTATAAAAGTCCAACTCTCATATCCATACATGCCTACTGGAAAAACCATAGCTTTGACTAGATAGACCTTTGTTGGCAAAGTAATGTTTCTGCTTTTTAATATGCTGTCTAGGTTGGTCATAGCTTTTCTTCCAAGGAGCAAGTGTCTTTTAATTTCATGACTGCCGTCACCATCTGCAGTGATTTTGGAGCTTCAAAAATAAAGTCTCTCACTCTTTCCATGTTTCCCCATCTATTTGCCATAAAGTGATGGGACCAGATGACATGATCTTTGTTTTGTGAATGTTAATCTTTAAGCCAACTTTTTCACTCTCCTCTTTCACTTTCATCAAGAGGCTCTTTAGTTCCTCTTTGCTTTCTACCATAAGGGTGGTATCGTCTGCATTTCTGAGGTTATTGATATTTCTCCCGGCAATCTTGATTTCAGCTTGTGCTTCATCCATTCCAGAATTTCACATGATGTACTCTGCTTATAAGTTAAATAAGCAGGGTGCCAATATACAGCCTTGATGTACTCCTTTCCCAATTTGAAACCAGTCTGTTCTTTCATGTCTGATTCTAACCATTGCTTCTTGACCTGCATACAGATTTCTCAGGAGGCGGGTCAGGTGGTCTGGTATTCCCATCTCTTAATTTTCCACAGTTTGTTGTAGATCCACACAGTCAAAGGCTTTGGCATAGTCAGTAAAGCAGAAGTAGATGTTTTTCTGGAACTCTCTTGCTTTATCAAGGTTCGTTGATTTAGACAAGACTGTGGTCCATATGATCAGTTTGATTTTATATCACGTTAGAAGTGTTGTATGTAACAACAAGAGGATTGAGGGTTTTTAAACTCTACATTTTGAAACAATAAAGTGTTTTTTTAAATCCTGGAGTTTATACTGATTCTGATAAGATATAAAATAGATAAGAGGAAGGGAAAGCTGGGTTTTTTTGGTCTTTTTTGCAGTAGAATGCCTTGTGTCATGTTGTGCTCAATCGCTTCATTTCTGTCCAACTCTTGAATTGTAGCCTGCTGGCCAGTCTGCTCTATCCATGGAGTTCTCCAGGCAACCCACTCCAGAGGGTTGCCATGCCCTCCTCCAGGGGATCTTCTGAACCAAAGATCAAGCTCAGGTCTATTTCATCTCCTGCACTGACAGGCATGTTCTTTACCACTAACACCATCTGGAAAGCCCCCCTCACAAATATACTAATAAGTGATGACTGTTTTAGGCCACTTATGTCTCAAGTGGTTGATGTAGTGACAGACAGCAGATTTCATTCTCCCTGGTGTTCCTGACTGTGCAGGAAGGAGAGCTCGCTGCTACTGTGGGGAATTCTCCCCTCACCTCCTGCTCTGTCTTGATACTGTGGGGAATTCTCCCCTCACCTCCTGCTCTGTCCCCTTCCCAGGACTGCTCTCAGGACCTGAGTTTCTGAGTCACGGTCCACTTGGCAGGATGACGCTCTCTCCCCAGTAGGTCAGTGAGTAGAAGTGGGGAGACTGTTCCCCTTCCCCAAATCACCATCCTGTCTTGTCAGCCTCCCTGGAACTGCAGCCCTGCGCTGGGCAGAGATGGTCTCAGTTAACTCAAGAG